TTATAATCATAAATCATATTTTTTATTTAGAGTATACCTCTCCAACGACATTTTGTAAAACACTTTGAGAAAATCTAGTACATTAATGTGAAGTATTAATTTGAATTTCTTCAAAATAGTTTTCATATATATATACTATATTTGAAGAATTCATTTTTATTATATATTATTTATTATTATATTATAGTAATTTTAATGAAATTATTTAAGTAAAACTAGTTATTATTTATCATGTTATTATAATGAATAGTGTATTTTACTACATACATATGTTCTTTTCTTGTAGTAGTACACAAGCAATATATAAAAAACACATATTATATAGATTATTACATGATATAACATATTTATTTTTAAATATATATAGGAAAAATGAGCATAATAGTCCTTATATATAGCACAAGGTTAAAAAATAATTTTAAATAATATAAGGTTTATATAATATAAATATATATGTTTTCTAACATTTATATCATTAATTAATTTAATAATATAATTTAAATATCATATTAATTAACATCATTTGTATTGACCTATTAAATATCTGTTACATATATTTTTGGACAAATATAATGAATATGCATTTATCGATGAATTATAAAATATGAAATATACTATATTAAGAATTATTCCTATTAATAAATGAATAAAATTCTCCTAGTTTCATTTTTAATGTTATGCTATTTCTATTTTTATAATAATGCGTAATAAATAGAAGTAGCCTAACAACTTAACATTATGGGAACGAACATATACTATGTTTTATTCAGAATAAAATTACGATAATAATGATTTTACATTTATTTATATGATTTATTTTTTAGACGAGACATTATTTAATTTAGACCGTAATCATACGTATTTATTTTGTTTATTTATTTAATGTAGTACTTTACTCTTTATTTTAGCTATACTTAATAAAAAATTAGTGCATTTCGAAAATTGTACATTATGAAAACAATATTTTTATTAAATCCGAGTTAATTTTCTTTTACATATTTATCTATAATTTATCATATATATGGGTTTATATTCATATATTTTTAATATAATTCAATCACTATAATTATAGCATATTATATTGTAATATTACAAATTTTTTATTTTATTTATTCACTCTATATTGTAAAAAGTTTAGGGAATTTTTATAATACCACTATTGTTATATAAAAATTATTTTATAAATACGATTATTTTATTTTCATAAAAATTGTCAGTCAATCTAATTACTTTATAAAATAGCATTAATTAATTTACTAATATTATATTATTAGTAATATTCTACGAATATATGTGTATTTTCTTACTTTCTTCTAATTATTTTATCTATTTTCTAAGGAATAAATTAAATTTATACTATTTATTTTTTTTTTTTTTTAGATTTTCCTCAAATTACTTAGGTTTGATTGAAATAAATAACCAGATGTTTTACACTAAGAATAACATGAATTGTGATATACTTATGCAAAAATAATCTATTATGTATACTTAATTAATAGTTATATGTAACATTAATATTATGATAAATATATCTAATGATTTAAAATAAATTTTAACATTATACAAAATTATGTAAATTATTAATATTGTAAATGGCAAAAAATTAAAAACTGTACCCATACGTGTGACTAATATTGATCCTATACCTGGTAAATCTCTATGTCTAAGGATGTCCTCCTCTCTCTGCTTATAGAACCGCTTGTTTCCATAAATGGGATTATTAAGATTATCTCTTATTCACGTTATATTTATTATTGCTCATCTTATATAACATTTCTCACGATTTTAATATTTGTATTAACTTGTGTCAAAAGAATATAAACAAACACCCAAATTAAATTTATGTAAGCATACATTAAAAAGAAATTTATGAAAATATTGCCAAATAAAAAAATGGTATTACAAATTTATACCCTGACTTATTTAAATGATAACATTTCATATTTCTAAGTTGAATAGTATTGTTAAGACAGTATAAAATTTTGCAATAAATATATTCATCACAACATAATAAATATTTATACAATACATAATATATTACAGGAACATTCTTCTCTATTATTATCATTGTTAAACTTTCTATAACTATATAATAATGGATTATTATTTTTTAGAATATTCGTATATTACATTTTTTACAGTTTCAAGCAATGTACTTAATTATGGGTAAATAGACTTTTTCATAATTTGTTATATGTATATGAATTATTTAAAAAAATTTCAATGCATAAAAATCATAAGAATATTAATATATTTTGTTTGAATATTATTTATGAAATCACTTATTTTAATATTTATTGAAATGCATAATAATTAATTTATTTATATTATGCATAATAATATGCAAAGCATGTATTAATTTTCTTTTTCTTTATATTTTTATATTAGTCTTTATAAAAGGAATTAATTAAAGATATTGATAAAAGATTTGCCATTAATACTGTAAAATGTAGACATATGTGTGCTTTGTATTGTTAATAAAAAAATAAAAATATTTCATCCTATAATTCTAATTATTAATTTAAGTTTCATTTATTACTTACTATTATTATATCATAGGGAATGTAAAAATATTAAATGTCATCATATTAAGCTTCTCAAAAATTCTTTATTACTTTATTGAAATTTTTGTTTGAATTATTTCTAATTTACATATTTTACTATTAATGCATTGTTTATTAGATCTTATAAAATTTTTCCCTATAAAGGAAACATATCAAGTTCAGATTTTTACTATTATTTTTAATTTTAATATTAACATATATTACACATGATAGACAGTGTATGCTGCCTTATTTTTGTTAGAATATTTTCTATAATAATTAAAATCTATTTATATAAATCTTGAATATAATTTAAAAGAGAATTGCTATTATAATATTTATTAAAAATATATATGATATGATATTAAAAACATTCATGATTTAATTCCTCATAAATAGATAACGAATCACATGATTAACATATTCCACACAAAGTTATAATAAAAAAATGCATACATATATGCCTCACATATCTTTACACCTAATGATATATAATTAGATAAAAAATTATCTCTCTATATAATAAACGAAACTAAATATATCATAAAATCTGCGCTATATATTTTTATTAATAAAGAATACTATAGAATAAGAATATATTATAACATATCTAATCAAAAATTAAGGTGCAGTTATTTTAAATAATGAATAATTATTCCTAAAATATGAGCATTCGAAATAAACTCATAAGTAGACGTAAATTACAATAAAAAAAAAAAATATTTAAAAAATTAAAAAAAAGTATATATATATATAACTATAAAAATATTTCAATTTTTTCATATATTAAATATGAATACGTATAATATCTCAGCAGTGTAAAGATGAGTGTAATTAATGAAATAAAAAATATGCATTGTTCACATATAATATAAAATTCTTATACAGTGTGATAACGTATGAAAATTAAATTGTGTATTCAATTTTAACGCATACATAATCGCTATGTATATAATAATAATTAACGATTCATAAAATACAAAATAAAATGACATGAAATAAACATTATGCACAATAAATCAAAATATATATGTAAATTAATACATATTGAAAAAAAAATAGTACACAGAAAAAAGCGAAATAAAGAAATGTGAATCAGAGACAATAAGAAAATAGCAAAAAGAAAAAAAAAAAA